TGCATGTTCTGTCTCCAGCCTGTTGTCTTTCTCAACTCCTCTGCCACTCCCACACCTCCAGTCCTGCAAATTTCTCTGTTGTCGCAGTCACAGGGACTTAGAGGTGTTTGCAGGAGTGTGTTTCTGAGCCGGCAGTGTGACATGTTGATGTGTTTTTTGTGAAATGCTCTTGTCTCTGTTCTCCTTTCCTTGAGGAGGAGACATTCCGGTGATGGTGTCTCTCGGAAAATGGAGGCGTCCCTCCGTAGGAGAAGACTTTCAGTTCAGTGTGTTGGATTACAAAGACGGCACACAGATTTTAGTGTTCTCTTTAAGTCATTTCTATTATGGCAAATGTGGTCCTGAGCTTTTGAGGAAGAGTGGACTTCTCCATTTTTTGCAGACCACAACTTGGCTTTCAAGGAATTTGTGGCCCTTGGGTACTTTGTGTAAATGACCAGCAGCTTATCATTAAATCGATTCCGTGGTTTTTGCTCAAGTGAGTCTTGCCAATCAAAAACCCTTAGTTAGAGGGGCAGTGGGAAGGAGGTAATAAGTAGGTTTTAAAAAGTACTTTAAATTTGAGAATTGATAAAAAAAGTTACTCAAATTATTTTATTCTGTTCTAGCATGTGTTGAACTTTTTATTCTCAAATCCAGTCATTTTTGCTCTTTAACCCAAAGACCCTCAAGCTGAATATCTCCTCAGTTCTAAGGATGAGACTCTCAAGAACAGTGTATGCTCTGAAATTTTACCATTTGCAGACTGCTCAGCCTGTTAGGACCTGCTTGACGCTTGCAGAAGATACAGGATTCCTGGTGAGCCCCACAGACGCTGCTAATCACAGCAGGGACAGTAGTGGGAGTGTCAGTGCTTTTCTGCACCTGTCCCGGGGTCCCATTTCTCATGGAATAAGGCAGTGCGGGCCAGGTAACAACTGCCTGTGGGGTGCTACAGGACAGGAGCCCAGAGCTCAGAAAACCCACTTCTTTTCTGGTGGGTAAAGACTATGCTTCACTCCAAGGAGATAAAACCTCTGTCTTCCAGGCCATTTGCCCTACAAATAGCCTCAAAAAATCGAACAGAGGGGGACGGTGTGGTACCTCGTGACCCTTATATATTCATAAACAGGAGAGACCCATGGAAAGTGGTCTCCTACCTGCTATGTGGATTGGATAGAACCATTCCAGGTGAACGGGAGAGGAGGTGACTTCATTGTGTGTATGGATGTATTAGGGAGCCCTGGTTGAGGAAGAGCTGGTAGGCCTGTGCGATGGGCTGGCCTTCTGTAAAGAAGAGCCCAGTTAGTCTTCCTGCAAGATATGGTAAACAGCAGAAAATCTTTCTAAGGCCACTACTTTCCTCTTTGTTTTCAATTTTAAAGATAACAAAAACTAACAAAACAACAATGAAGACAAAATCAAAACACAAAAACAACAAAAACAATACATGACCTCAGAACGGAATGATAGGCATTAACAATGGTTGCTACATTGCATACTGTTATCCTCAGTGAAGCTGCTCAGTCCACCACACATAAGAATGTAAGATTGATCAAACACTCAAAGACAGTAGCAAGTAATAAGAAAAAAAACATTGGAAATGATGCAGAGCTTCATCGTGCAAGATGGAGGAGTTCAACAATGGTTCTTATACTGTTCCCTCTACTTTTTTAGAAACTATAGGTTTTAAAATTTCTTTAATCCTTTTAGGAGAATTATCCAGATTCTAGAAAGTAGGAGATGGTTATTATAATGAAGCTCATCTTAAAGTTTTGAGCCCTCAAAGGCGCATGGGCAGCTTGGCTTTGGGAGACCCCTGTAAGTGCCCATCCTCTGCCTTCTGCTGGCAGACACACTGACTCATTATATGAGTGCAGTACCTTCGGTTACTCAACTCTGACCTTATCCTTGCTCTTTCCCAGAGGACAAGGCTGTGAACAGTCCTTCTGTCTCAGCAGCCACTCTGCTCTGGCTTCCAGACCTTGTTTAGCTACACAGGTCTCCTCTTTCACACAGCTTGCAGTTCTCCGCGAGACTTATCCTTCCTTTCCAGGAGGACTCCTTCCAGACCTGCATTTTGGCACCTTGGATGAATGCTGCAGCTTACACAGCCTCTGTGCCCACGTGGGATTCTGAAGTGCAAGGAGTGCCTAGCCGAGGCCTCTGAGATACTGCGGGGAAAAGCCAGGAAAGCAGATACTGAGATTTAAATTTAATTGAGAAATGTGAAAGGTTATGTTGGGAAATCAGTTCCTGCCGGATCTCATATCATGTATATATGTGGAATAACGACAGAAAGTTCTCAGAAAGTGAAGAAACAACAGGTGAATTTTAGAATTTGCCCTTGGCCAGGGGTTGCTAATTCTGACTTCCTAGTTTGAGACAAAATGGGGACAACTAAGCACCTTATCGTCTGCACTTACTCTTTCCAAAATTCTTTCACTTTCTAAAAACCAAGGGATGTTTTCCCATTCATGAAGAAAAATTAAAGAAAAATGGAACTTTTTAAAAATGAAGGTGTATTAAATAGGTAATAGCTCTACAATTGATGATGTTTATTTTTAAAGGGCCTCCTAAATAGTCACATTATTTCTCTTTGCCCTGCAGCTGTCCTCCCTCTGAGCAGATGGAGGGCCATCACTTAATCTCTGGACCTCTTACAATGAGGCAGAGTTGATGGGGGTGTGGTACAACATCTCACCATCCACCACCACCACCATGGAAGCACCTTGAATAATTGCTGGGAGATTTCATGGCAGTCGTTTGGCTTGACTGTAGCCTTAAGTTCCCTGTCAGAGCTTCACTCATCCCTTCCTCTCCTTTGCCTTCCTGATTAGTAAGATGCCATTAAAGATTCATTTTCTGCTAAAGAACTGAGTGCCTTTGGTAGCTGATGGTTCAGATCTCTTTAAGATTTATAGATTCCTTGGCTTAGGATGAAATAGGTTTTATGACTCCCAAATGAATGGCTGGATAGGGGAATTGTAAATAAGTTCTTTAAAGAATAATTTTTCTTTTTGCTTCTCTCCCTTTTTTCTGAGTATTGCTTAAGAAATCAGTGTATTAAATATCTACCAAGTTAATAATGCAGTCCTTCACACAATCCAGTTGTGGTCTTTGAACTTGAGGACTGGTTTGCATATGTTAAGTGAAAGTTTCATGTGCCTAGCATTGCAGCTGTCTTATTGAGAGCTATAGGAAAATTAAGGACGTGATCTTGCCACAGGGCAAGAGAAATACCTGACACCACCAGGGAGCAACTAATCCCAGCCTACTCGCCCTTGTGTGGGTGAGGCAAGGCGTCAGAGGTACCCGGTCTCCTGTGCAGGCAGAGGAGGAGGAAGCTGGGACAGAGAGTGCCAGCGTGAGGCAGAAGCGGGAAGGGCTGGCAGTAGAAGGGAAGCTGCTGGGGCACCTGGAGAGGCGTGCGGCTCTTGGGAGACAGAATGGGGTAGACCGACCATAGAGTAGTTCAGTGTGGCAGTCTCGGACAGTGAGCTGGGGTCCAGCAAGAAGACCATGCTGGCCATGAAGACATGGAGCAGTGCAAGTGGAATGTTCTCCTGGTGAGAGGACATGGCAAGATGCAAGCCAGGAGCTCTGTTGAATTAAAAATGGACAACTCCTGGCATTGGTTCTGCTACAGAAAAGGCAAAAACAGGGCTTAGCAATGCAGAACGACAAGGAAGCTGCTCATGGGAACTGGTTTATGCTGAAGAGGATGAACTTGTGGTAAAGAGTGTCTGGGTTTGGCACGTGTTAAATACAGTGGTGTTGAAAATAACTCAGTAGAGGAGCTGGCAGCGCAGCTTGGTGGTAGAGCACTTGCCTAGCATCTACAAGGCCCTGGGTTTGACTCCTAGCATGGGGCATGGAGTGAGGATTTTACAAAACAGTTTTCTGTACTATACTTCTGAAGGAAACTTTATATATCATAGGCATAGGGCTCCATGTCTGAGATTGTTGAAGAATTCAGACTACCACATATTTATGTATTTACAGAACCCTCCAGAAGTCTTGCATTGATCATCTTGTTCAATTTGGAAGTTCTGAGTGCTTGTATCATTTGTTTTGGTTTTTCTCCGGTACCAGGAACTGAACTCACGACCTTGCACTTGCCAGGCAGGCGCTTGCCTCTGAGCTAAATCCCCAGCCCTTGTATCATTTGTTGTTCATTGGTTTCTTAATCTTTAGTGCCAGTCTTTTTTCTTTCTGTAGGTATCCTAACTCTTAATGTCCTTTTTTTCTGAGTTGCCACACATATATGAATTCACTGAGAGTGCTTTAACTATTAAAATATTGTCTGTTGATCTGTGGCAGCTACAGAGCAAAGACTTAAGATTCTTGTGATTTGCCTTTTAAATAGAACAGAAATGAATGCACGTGGTCCTCAACTTAGGATGGTTTGACCTAGGATTTTGTAACTTTATGAAAATGTGAGAGTGACATTCACTCCACTGACACCATGTTTTGAATTATGATTATTTATTGGGCTGGTGATATGTGGTGTGGTCCTCCCTCTTGGTGTTGGGGAGTAGCGCTGATCTACAGCTCTTGGCCAGCCACGGGATCACAAAGAGAAACAACAAATGTTCTATAGTGTGCTGCATTGCTAAGATGTTTGGTAGGTTAGGTGCATTAAATGCATCTTAGGCTTACAGTATTTTTAAGTTATAAGGGGTTTATCGGAACATAATCCCAGGGCAAGAGAAAGAAAACCTTGAACATCCAAGCCATTTTGGGTACGTGATAGCAAATAGACGCAGTACTAAGGTAGACAGGATTGGGTCTTCCCCACAAATCCGCAGAAGTATAATGTGATCGCTCTGGTTTCAGTTTGTGGCTGACTTTTGGGTGGCTGACAGGTACTTTGGGCGAAGCCTGGGAGGATATCGGGAAGTCTGTGTTCCTGCTAGTGTGGAGAGATCCAGGAGCTGGTCTTCTGAGAACTGACTTGTACATGTGGAGTTTTGTGGCCTTCATGCTATTAATCTTGTTCTTTCAACTTCCATCCTTAGCCCAGGCCAAACTCGATCATCTATGGCCCAGTGGCTTAACCCACAGTCTCCAACAACACCAGGCCCCAACACAGCTGTTCCACCTCCTTCACCCAGTTCATCTCCTTTCCCCACCTCTCCTGCTGCCACCAGAGCTGACAAGCCCCTGGAAAGGTATGTGGTATGAAGCACGATTATGAAATATAATGGCACCCAGAAGGGGCTCTAAACCTGTGTTCTGTGCCCCTGGCATCCTGGACCTTATGACCAACATTTCCAGTTTTGTGTGGCTCTCTGCTTTATTTCAGTAGCAAGCACAGTTTTTTGGTTTCCTAAGGGCATTGGTTCTGGACCCTCTTACATAAATTAAAAGCTGCCTGTATTCCAGTCTCTTAGACTGGGATGTACTTGCATGTAATCTGTGTATTTCCTCCTGTATACTTTAAATCATTGCTAGATAAATTAATATCTAATACAATCTAAACTGCTAAGTAAATAATTTATTACGCTTTATTGTTCACAGAATGACAACAAAGTATGTATATGTTCAGTACAGATGCAATTTTTAAAGAAATATTTTTAGTCTGTAGTACATATAGAACCCTCTGTGGATACACAGCAGTACATTTCTCAGAGGAATTTGATTTCTGTGAGACCTGCCTGCTTGAACCTACTCTTTTTGGTGCTAGTTGTGCATTTTTAAAACTAGTCATTTTGAAAGAACTTCTTGTACATAAAAAATGCGTATTCTTTGTTTTAAAGGAAGGCAGAATGGGCCTTGGAAATGTTAACTTGCATGGCCATTTAATGTCTGGTTCTGTAGAGGTCAGAGGAGCTGACCTTTAGTAGTGCACCTCTCTGGAGATTGGCTAAGTTGCTCCTACCAGGATTGCTTTCCCAACTCTGATGAGGTGGAGCACTTCCTTCCACTTTGGTTCATATCTGACTAAAAGCATCGTTTCCTTCCTTCTCCTACAAGGGTACACCGGAGATTTTGACAAATCGGGAGAAGCCAAGTCTGGTGTACCTTTCTGGAGTGGTCAAAGTAAACATCAGTGTCTACTGTGGTAGCACATGCTGTGAGCCCAGTTGTAGAAGGCTGAGGCAGGAGGATTGGAACTTCAAGGCTAGCCTGGGCAATTTACCAAGACCCTGTCTCAACAACAAAAACAAAAACAGGCAGAGTTTGTAGATAAATAGCCGAGTGCTTGCTTAGCGTGTGCAGAGCCCTGGGTTTAATCCCTGGTACCTTGAAAAAACAAAAAAGGGCTCAGAATGTAACATGGGGTGGAATACTTGCCCTGCACGCACAGGGCCCTGGGTGCAAGCCCCTCCCAGAGGTCGTGGCACACAGACTGAGGTCAGCGGCTCACTGGAAGCCTGTTTAGCATGTGCTGTGTGTGTCCTCCTGCGCTGCTGGCCTATCCACGTGGGGATGCTTTTCCTAATGCGCAGCTGAAAGGCTTAGGAGGTGAGTGCACCCTGTGGTTACAACAACACTGAGCGGTAGAAAAGCTTTTCCCACCAGGCTGAGTGGAGAATTAGACAAGTAGTTCAGCAGCAGCTTCCCAGAGAGGCTCTCTAGGGAGAGGTTTGCCTTTGAAACCTACCATGTACTTGGAAAGCAAGTGCTATGACTTTGCCTGATGTTCTTGTCTCTGTTCCTTTCTTTTCTAGAAGGAGTTGCCCCATGAGCGACCTATGATGCGATGTAGGGAATAGGAGGCAGGGCTGGGGGCAACCAGGAGGCTTCTCTCGCCGTTCTTCACATTTTCAGTTGGATCTTTTTGTGTTCCTTCTGCAGTGTTATCAATCGGAGAGCTCGAGCAGTGTACCCGTGTGAAGCAGAACACAGTTCGGAGTTATCTTTTGAAATAGGAGCCATTTTTGAGGATGGTAAGTGGTGGTGGGAGATACTCTGTCACCCTAGGGTGTCTTCACGTAGAGTAATGGTCACTGACGATGGCCGTTCAACACCTTGGACAGGAGAGAGCTAGGCCCTTGGCTTCCGGATCCTGAGCACCAAGGGGCTCTGTGCTGGGGACTGGAACACTGCTTCTGCTGTCCTGATGATGAGTCTCCATTCACATCATTTATGGAAATGAGCTAGTACTGCTTGGAGTTAAGAAATACTTCTTATCTACCTCCTTTGTTTTCTTGGTTCTCCCAGAATTCTTGACTGAGCCTCCTGAATGCCTCAGGTTTGCTGAATCTGTTTTGATTTCTAATCCCTTTAGGATTCCTATGCTTCACAATTCTTTCCCATCCTGAAAAGCATGTGAATCTCCCAATTTGGGTGTTGACCTTGCATAATGAGACAACAGTGGGAATTTTTATTTGAATGTTTAACATTCGCACACAAGTATTTAGAAGCTATGACTGACTTCATATTTCACAGATTTCTCCTATGGCTTAGTGTATGTATTTTTTTTTCCTCCTTGCTTTTGACTTCTTCCCTCCCTAGTCTGCTCATTATGAAATTCATTGGTTACTGTGGAAACAGTGATGTTGTGTGTGGGTGGAGCTCCCCAGAAGAGTTCCAGGGAAGCAGCAGGAACCTTGGATGCCTGGAATGGCTGATGAGCCAGAATGTTTGGAGTCTGTGGAATACATCTACACAATGCACTGTGGCGTGTTGTCAGTAATGCAACATTTGCTGGTGATTGTTTTTTAGAAAGCAAGTTGCTTCATTTAGAATAGAACGCGGTATGTGCTCCTGAGTGCCAGAGACTCCTGATAGCATCAGCAAACAAACAACAGCACCAATACCCAACACGACAGTTATATACTTCATGAAGAAACTTTCTTCTTGGAGTAAAGCAAGAGCTGTTCTTTACAACCGTAACACAGACATGTACTCTATCGGTAGGGGAGTAGTCACAAAGCTGTCCCCCTCCACACCTGTCATGTACCATCACAGCACATGGTAGAAGGGAAAGCTGAGATAGTAGTATTGAAACTCACCCATTCAAAAATGGTGAAGAATTTTTACTTCCTGTGGTATTTCCTTAGGAGCTTCTGAATTTTCTTACATAGTATTTCTTGTGAGATAGTTACCCTGGTAGGAGATGTATAAGGATGCCTTAGGCTGCAGGTAACAAAATTGGACACAAGTGGTTATATCAGCTCAGTAATAAGTCTGGCAATAGGGTGCTCCATTTGATTAATGCACATTCTTACAGAATGTGTAAAGACCAAAGCATTTCCATCTCTACTGAACTGTTTTCTACTTGTACATTTGAGCCCTGGCTCTACTTGTACATTTGCCTCCCTGATTGGGGCAAAGTGGCTGCTAGTTCGAGGCCTCATGACCACACTCGACTTCCATAAAATGAGGTATCTGCTCTTTGTGCTCTTCCTTTGGAAGACTGAGAATACTTTCCAGAATTTTCCTCCTCCTCTACCTGCTCTATTAGCTCAGTAGTCAGAACTAGATCAGATGCTCTCACCCTAAGCCCATGACCAGCAAGGACTCAGACCAGTGAGAACCATGCTGGGCAAAGCATCACAGCCATGTGAATGGGGGGTCTGTGCTTAAATCAAATCTGGGTCTGCCAGCATAGTGGAAAGGAGAAGGGCTGGGAGGTCAGTGCCCCGTGAGACTTAAGTTCTCCAACTCTAAAATCCCTCCACAACTTAGGAAAGTCCTCCGGAAAAAAGAGTGTGTATGCACATGTACATGTAGGTGTACATAAATCACACATATACACATGCACACACATACATGCACCTGCATACATGGGAATATTTCAGTGTGTTTTTGAAAGAAGAGGTGATTCAAGGCAGGTGGCAGTGTATTACAGTTTGCAGTTATTTTACCAAGGTCAGACGTTGGCTGTTTTGCTTTCTTTGTGACCCTAGACAAGCTGCTTTAATAATGTTTGCATCAGATTCATGATCCTAGTTTGCAGGGCTATCTGCCTTATTGATGTTGCATTGTCACCCCTTCTCCATTTCCCTGGATCTCGTTTATATGTCACCGGGATAGCATTTGGGGCTACGGGAAGATGGGACTTTGAGTACTGCCGACGTTTGCGAGCGACGTTCCTAGCTGTGGTGCCTCACGGGTGCATCATGGTGTGCTGTGGATGTGGCCGTGTTTCCCGCCAAGTCACGTCTCCCTCTAATTTGGTGCCAGATGGTACCAGTGTCCAACTCAGTCTAGACTTGCTGGCTGGGGCACCAGGGAGTCTTGGCAGTTCCTCACTCTCTCACTCCTGGCTCTTTTCTCCAGAGATGCCTGTTGATGTGTTGACAGCCCTTCCTTACCCAAGTAGGCAAGCACGTCGTTTGATGTGAGATTTGTGTCTTGTAGGAGCCTTCCTGATCCTTTGATAGGGGTGCTGATGAGCTTAGCAGAGGATGTGTGGGGTTGGCACCCCGAGACTTGCTGTTTCCTAGGGATGGTTCTTTAAGTGTGTATGTTGAAGGCACTTGAGCAGGCTGCTTGCTTTTTCTGTTGTGTTTACTTTTATCTCCTGTGCGTGGCTGATCGCTCAGCTAGTTAAAAGCAAGCTCTTGCTTTTCTAGATGTGTCTGGTGAAGCCCTTCCTGTAGTAGCTGTGGGGTCTTTTCTTCTAAAGTCAGACACAGAGCAAGCCATACAGGCAGGTCATGGGATCTCAGTGTTGTAGAACCAGGCAGTGCTCCAAGTGGCCACCATTTACAGCTGAACCCGCAAGAGTGTCTCCAGGAACACGCCCTTTCCGCAGACCAGTGATAGACACTCAGTGTTCTTGAAACACCCGAGACATTTTTCTTGTGACCACTTCTCCATTTGGAATCTTCCAGAAGGCATCCAAGCTCCTGCCATGCAAATCTTTCTTGTGCTCCTTTACGCAACAGTTTAAAAAAACAAAATTCAGGTCAGAGTGACCCTTGGGCCACATTGCCAGTAGTTACAGGGTTTGGAATATCTACCATGGCGAGAAATTCTAAACCAGCGGATGGCAAGGTGGTCTTTAGTAATTACATAGCTCCGTAGCTGCTCCTTGCTCTTTGCTGTCACTGTGTGGGTCTAGACTTCAGGAAGGGTTCAAGTTCCTGGCTGACGATTTGCTTCTGCAGTTCTGGGGAAATGTCTTCCAAATCTTGCCAGAGAGAGCTCTGTTGTGAAGTTTCAGGCTGACTGATGTTCTGCTTTTTCCTGGGCCTGAGGAACTCTAGGAGTAGACTTTGGGGGCCCTTCAGCTGCCAGATCTCCCTGGGTTGGGAAGTTGAGTCTTGGGCTGCCTGGAAAGATTCATGACCCCGTGGGGTGGATCTGCAGGAGCTTGTAGGCTCTGAATGGTGTGGTTGGGTTCTTGTGGGCCCCGGGCTCCTTGTTGGCTCATAGGCATAGACATGATGTCTCCATTTGCTTGGGGAGCAGGTGTGACCCTGAGTAATCCGTAAAAGCCTCTGGTAATTAATATTTAAAGGTCTCAAATAGACAGAATAATCCTTGAAAAACATTTGGCCTCATCTTGGAAAGTTGATCTTGTGTGGCCCTCACAATGAAGTGGTTTTCTTTCTAGATATATTTGTAACATAGGGGAATCTTAGGGGGAAAAAATGATAAATGCCAGATGTCTACACATAATATGGTGCTAGTGAGGCTCAGAGGGCAGCAAAATATTTTACTTGGGGTATGGACTTGTGTGATAAAACCTTGTTTTAAGTATAGCTGGGGTCAGAGAATGAAAAACATCCTTGAGCTACAGGACAAAGAAGCACTACTGCACTTACAGTAGCCAAAAGGCGGAGACAAGCTGCACACCCATCAGCTCTAAATGGACAAACAGAAGGCAGGCTGCACACACAAAAGGAGATTACTGAGCCATGAAGGAAGGGTTCCCTGGTGCGTGCTACTGCCTGGATGAAGCTTGAAGCCTGGGTGCACGAGATAAGCTAGGCACAAAGGGGTAGGTATTGTGGTGCCTTTTATGTGAGATACCTAGACTGGCAAATTCTTAGAGATGTAAAATAAGGTGGAGGCCACCAGGAGCTGGAAGAGGGAGACTGGGGAATTACTGCTTAATGTACACGTAGCTTTGGTTTGAGATGAGAAAGTTCTGCACATAGTAGGATGGCTACACAATGTCGTGACTTGTCTTAATGCCACTGAATTGTACACTTTCACACGGTCAGAGTGGTGAGTTTTATGTACATGTTTCAGTGCTGTTAAACACATTAAATGGCAGGGAGCATTGGTGGGAACTCTCACTAGGTTTTGAGGATGCACGGCTTGCCAGGGTCTCGCAGCTTGCAGGTGGCGGCACAGGGTCTGTGAGTGCTGTCCCATCTTCCTGTGTCCTGTGCATGTCTCCAAGCCTCCTGAAGTGAACTGCTATTACTTGCCCTTTCTCTACAGGGGGCTGTGGCTGGTGGCAGCCCAGCGTCGGCCAGTGAGAGGAAGCCGTCTGTAGGTCATTGTCCTTTCTCTTTGTCCAAGTCCGTTGTCTCTTGGAGCATGTGTGCAAGAGACCCGCTGATCTTCAGGGCTGATCAGTGCCCCTGCCCTGCACGACCTCCCAGCACACGGCTGTGCAAAGGTTGCGTGGCCCAGGGAGGGCCGGGCTCCTTGACCGAGACCGAGTGCCGACCATGGTGCACAGGGAAGGCCCCAGGGAGTGATGGCAGCAGGTTCTCCTGCCCAGAAACAGGGAAAGGCAGAGCCCTCACCGTGAAGAAGTCAGTTCTCTGTGGAGAAGGCCCCTCCTGCTAGACCATGCCTGCTTGTCAGAGCAGCATGGCACGCGTAGTCCTGCCTCTGCCGTGGGCTGCCCTGAGGTTGTGCTTAACCGGAGGAGGGAAGTGAGGGAGGAAGGAGGGCTTTGGAAGTTCTCCCGTGGGCTGCGGAGAGGTTTGGGGCTTCGTCCTTACATTTACATTCCCCATGAACGCATTTGTGGTTGGTGTTAGGGATAAGGGGTCTCCCTGCCCCTGGCCAGCTGTGAGTCTAGGCAGTTGCAGAAGCCTGAGGTGGCCCTGCAGCCTGAGGCTCGACTTGGAGAAGCAACTGGAAACCTCTGATATCTGTCAAAATAATACTGGCTTCACAAGTTTTACTTACACATAAGTGATGAAAAATAGCCTTTTTCTCCTGAGACAAGGAAGGTGAGGCCCCCATGCAGGCCCCTGGCCTTCTGCTATCCCGTGCAAGTCGCCCACTTTCTTCTCTCCGTGGTATCCAGTGTACTGCGCCTGCAGCAACACTTTCCTCGGGGTGGAGCTGAGCTCTAAGGTCAGCTGTGACCCGGGCTGTTCTGGGAAGGTAGAGTCTTTTGGTTCATAGACAAGAGCACCTGGATTCAGCCTTATGCAGCCCATGGTCTTTAAGGTGGCAGGTCACCGAGACCAGTGCAGTCATCTGGGAGCCCCTGTCACCTCTCTGCTCCCCTCAGCAGTGGTCTGTTCTGTTCTTTTCATGTTCAGCCATAGAGATCTAAGTTGCCTTGGTTTATTGGGAGTAGAGTATTTAGGGTTGTTCTCACTGGCTTGAGTGTTCCTTCAACTCATACTTGATGCAGAGACATATCACATGGCACGCACCTTTCATGTGGGAAAGTTACTTAAGTAAGTGGTGCTGCAGAAATGCAGATATCTTGTTTTTTACTTCCACAGTATTTTTTGAGCATGGTGCGCAGGACTAGGAAGACACAGAAAAAGACTAGGAAGACACAGAAAAAGACTAGGAAGACACAAGCCTGCTGGGGAGTCCATAGGCTCGAGTGGGGATTCCCATGACAGGGATGTTCAGGGATCAAGGGCCTTGGCTTACAGATCTCTATACACAGTGTTCATAGGTTGAGTAAATGATAGCTAAGTGCGGCTTGTGCTTTGCCCTTAACGTCATAAATTTACTTCCCTACCTTGGAAATGGTCAGTTCCTGCCATCATGCTTGATAATGCACAAGAGCCTGCACCACCACAAGAAAAGGTCTCATTTTAATCTGTGGAGCAGGTTCTGATGACTTACCATTTGCCCTCTTTTAGAAATACGTATGGTCTATGAGAGATTGGTAAAGGTCGAGGGTTGCATAGCCATTAAGGAGCCAGAATTCCAGCCAGGGTCTTGGGGAGTCCAAAGCCCACTCTGCTTCTATTCTGTTCCTATCTTTTGGAGTTAGAAGTTTTCCCCAACATGAGATATGAGGTGCTGTGTACTCCAGAAACTGTGTCAGCCGGCATTATCCAGAGAAAAAGAAAGCAGGAAAGAGAGAGAGAATGTGAATATGAATGTGAGTGAGAGTGAGAATGCGCAGGGAAGGATGCATGCTGGAGACCTAGGGAAGAATTATAGTGTGAATCTCAAGGCAGGCTGTTGGCTGGCAGAATTTTTTCTTCTTTGTCCTCTCCTGGCCTTCTCCTGGTTGCACGAGGCCCACCATGTTATGAAGCTTGTCAGAGATCATGGACTTCACTGTTGCTACCAGCTAAGTGTCTAGAGTAATTGACTGGGTCTTCACAGAAACGTCTGTAATAATGCTTGACTTAGTCGAGAGGCCTGGGTATTGCTGCTGAGCCAATGGACCATCACACCAGAGGAACAGTGGGTCGGACTAAGTGCAGAGAGGAGCCTGGGGCGTGTTCCTGGTGTCTACAGAGGGATACTCTCTCTGAGAGGGAGAGAGAACCCCTCCCAGTCCTCTTCTGCAGCCTCTGAGCCACCTCGCCAGGGGCTGGGGATGCCCAGCTCCTGGGATTCTGAGCTTTCTGTCCCATCTCACCACTGCCCACCCTGGGCCATTTCCAGCCTCTTGGGAGATACAGGAGTCCCTGGGGTTTCCTCCCTCAGGCAGTGACAGGTTCCCGGGAAGGGAGGTGGACAACAGGGATGTGGACGAGCATCGATGTGTTGATGGGGACAAGGAGGATTCCCAGCTTGGCCCTTTCTGTCCAGTTCTCCCTTTCCATACCCTCCTACTCTCCCTGCCTCCCTGCCTCCCTCCCTGCATCCCTCCCTCTTTCCCTCCTTCCCTCCTTCTTTCCTCCCCTTTCTTCCTCCCTCCCTTCCTTCCTTCTTTCTTTTTTCTTTCTTTCTTCCCTGCTCAGCTGTTATTCATGCCTCAGCCGTGTTTTTATAAGTATGTGTATACACAGGAGAAGAAATGCTAAGCATGTGCAAATGGGTTCTACATAACTTGTGAGGCTGAAGTCATCTCTCTGCCACTGCACATCAGCCAGGAATCTCCTCCAGGCCTCTCGCTTCACTCGGGACCTTTCCCCTCAGGAGGCCACCTTCCAAATCTCTGAGGGGGCCCTTTGCATAGAAGCCAGTCATTTTCCCTGGCGGTGCCTGCACACTGGTGGCTTTGCCACCTTGGCGGGGGGGGTGGTTAGATGAAATTGAGAAGCCTTTAAAAATCTTGCTGTGCTGCAGTGTCAGGGTGAAGGTAACTGAGGACATGAAGAAAGGGACAGGCTTCCATATCAGCTTGAGAGCTTATCTCCGATTTGTCTGTGTGTCCATTCATTGCACAAGTAATTGTGTGTGGGGGGCACTGTGGTAGCTGCTGGGGGTAGAAATTCTCGTGTTACATGTCTGTGATGTTTGTGTGTTGTATCCTAGGCTAGAAGAGGCTCACACACATGAAATATGCAGGGTGTGTGGCTGGGCCCCTCATCTGGTCTGGGGTAAGAGGGACATCTCGGCAGATGAGATGCTGAAGCCAGTGTCCGAGGCCTGACTTCATGCTCTCCGGCCATGGGTGGATGGAGCGAGCACAGAGAGAGCTTAAAGCAGGAAGTGTGGTGAATGTGAAGAAATGGCAGAAGGCCAGGATAATGCAGACAGCCAGCATGTGCACTTATGTCTTCCAAGAGAGGGAAGGGCAAGTGGTTACCTTACTGCGTTCAACCTTTACAGTTGGGGATTGGATGGTCAGTGTCTTCCAAGCTGGAGGTTGCTACAGAATAGTGGGTTGTGAATGCAAGTTTTCAGCCAGCATTCAAAAAAGAGTAAGGAAAGAGAGGGCTCTGACCAGTAGGAGTGTTGTTTCACCAGACTTGCGTCGTGTGTGTGTGTGCGTGCACCCTCGGTGCGGTGCAGGTGGTTCTCGTGGGTTGGAGTCAGCCGTATCTCAGAGCCGGCTCCTGAGCTGAGCTGCAGGGAGCACTCCGCTTCCTTTCCCCAGGCACAGAACTGCTCTTCTGGCCGTGGCTGGGGGCCTCGGCTGGGGGCTCTGAGCGCCACTGTATTTGATTCGCAAACCCTGCTGAGGAGGGCTGTGGCCTGTGCCCGTGCTGCCCACCGTGCTCACTTGTGTGTGCCACGGGTATTTACGGACGCCCGCCGTGGGCCAAGCTCTGTGCCCTGACGTGTAAGGCCAGGCCTGTCCTCAGACTGCCCATCCAGTGACGATGCCTGGAGGGGTCGTCAGTGCTGAGGAAGGGCCAGGCCGACTTTTGCGGGGAGGAGCTGTCCCCTCAGGTCTCTGAAGAGGAAGAACCTCCTGGTGAAGAGGTCCCAAAGCACTGCAGGTAGAGGACAGCACGTGCAAAGGCGTGGAGCCTCGCTTCGGGCTTCCCTGGTCACTCAGGGCAGCAGACAGTAAGAAGTGCTGCACGAGTGTGAGGTCCTGCGGGAGGGGTGCGCAGGGCCAGTAAGAAGCTTGAGTGTGACTTCAGTCAGGAGTGACATGCTCTGTCCTGTGTCCTAGAAGCTCCACCCTGTACCGAGTGGATTGGAAGGGGGCAGACTGGAAGCGTAGAGACCAGAGAGAGGCTGTTACAGGAAGACAGGAGGACTTGGCTGGCCAGGCCAGGGGGCAGAGCCATCAGTTCTCCCTGCTGCATACGTCACAGTTGGATACCCCAGGTGTCACCCGCTTCTCTCCTGGCTGCTCCTAGCTGGAGCCCAGGTGAGACCGGCTGCGTAGTCAGCAGAGGTGCGGTGGGACGGTGCATTGTTAAAAGTACTTTCTCTTCCTTTCCAGTACAAACCTCGAGGGAACCTGGCTGGCTCGAAGGGACTCTGAATGGCAAGAGGGGTCTGATTCCCCAGAATTATGTCAAGCTGCTGTAGCCCCGGGCCTCAGCGGGCCCTGCTGACCTTGGACCCCGCACGCCTGCCTGGGAGCGGCACTTCACACACCGGACCACACTCGGGAATCACAGTCACCTCCGGCACTCCAGGGCCGGGAATGTGGAGGGAACTTGGCGCACAGCACTGTGTAGATTGGTGGATGAGTACAGACAAGTGGGTTAACAGAAGGGATTTTTCCATTGTCCAGAATCAGGACGTGGGGGAATCTGAATTATTCATCCTGTAGAAGGAGAGGGAGGACAGCTGCCTGCCACCTCCACTGGCATCCACAGCACCAGGCCCACGGAGGATCCCTCTCCTCCCACCCGCCGCTGAGATGTTAAAGGGAACTGTCCTTCCTCCACTGGGCTGCAGTTTGGGGAGCAGACTGGGGCGCAGGCGGCTGCTGGTACAGGGGGATTGGTCTCAACCCGGGGGAAGCAGAGCGGCCCTTTCCAAGCCTGCTCCTTCCCGAATGGCCGGCCTGGGGACCCCACGCTCACTCCACCTGCCCTGAGCACACCGCGTATTTATAACAGGCTCCTCCTCGGTGCTCCTCACCTGAGTGCTGTTTGCCCGGTGCCACCTTTTTACCCACGATCTCTCTGTAAATGAAATAAAGTGTAATTTACTATTCAACTTGTGTGGTCTCCTGTGGCGGCGGGGATGGTGGAATTCGTCCCCCCTGGAATGGTTTATGATTTTGCAGCCCACAGATGGAAACTCATGTTTGTCTGGTGGTGGCACACACTCACAGGTAGAACTTGTTGACCGGGAGCCTTGCTCCTTCTCAGCAGGGCATGTTCAGGGAGGCAGGGGCTGAGGTTCTCTCTGTGTGTGAGAATCCGAGGGGCTTCTGCCACCCGCCGCACAGGCCTTTCCCCCAAAGGCGGGTGGAAGTGGCCGGGCTGGAGTGGGTGTGGCATAGTTAAGTGTGGAGTCTGCCTGAGTAAGAAACACGCATCTGATTGGCTTAGCCTACTCTGGCTGTGGCTGAATGATGGACTTACTGAAGAGGGAAGACACACCCTGCACGAGTGGCACCAACCAATAGGCTTGTAGCCTGAATGGGATAAGAAGGGAAAGAAGAAGGAAATCACTTCTGATGCTTTGGAGGAGCTTGTCTTTGCCATCACCTTCGGATGCCCCTCTCCAGGCTTCTAGCAGATTCTCCAGCCATCCAACATAGATCCTTCGGCTGTCCAGTACATATGCCAGCAGGACTCTGCAGTGAGCTCCAGGTCTTCCACCTTTCACTGGATCATTCCGTCTCCAGCACACAGACAGCACTTTTGGATTCTTTCCACACCTGACTCTGCAAGGTGGCCACTGTTAGCCTGCCTTATAAATCAGAAATAAAAATATATTTCATTATATTACATCTGTTACCCTAGTGAACTCTGATACAGGGTGGGAGCTGCCTTTGTGCTGGCAGCCAGTCCTGACTCATTTCACTGGGCAAGTCACATCACCCAGGGCATCCTGTGTCTTCCAGGTATTAGCACTGATCCCCCTGGACAGGGTCAGAGGCCTGCAGCTCGAGATCCCAGACCTCCTTGGTGGACCCAGAAGACATGGGTGCTTCGTGGGCCTGAAGCTGATGAGTACCACAGCATGGGCAGGCCCTGATCGTCCTCGTGCTTCTCAACCTTGACTCCAGGCACGGGCCCAGCCAGCCACTTGGGCAAGGAGCAGGTTTTCCCTTTGAGCATGAAGCACTGGTTTAGTAGCTGCAGGAGACTGAAGCCAGCTGTACACCAGATGCTGCTTTGTGGAAAGAGGTGACGTGTCTCCCTTGCTGGAGAGGTTCCTGGACCTGTCAGACTTCTCTCTGGAGGATTTATCAAAAGACAGGTGTGTCTGCTGCCTCTTCCCCAGGTGAACTGATTCACAAGCTTGCTGTTTTGCTGTGTGATGGCTCTGAAGTCACCTTGTGTGGACCACATAAAGGTTGCGCTTGGAGCTGCTATAGTTTGGATCTGGAACCAAAGCCTGTGTGTTAAGGTTTAGTCTGCAGCCCATATTCCTATTGGTAGGTAGTGGAAACTTAGGGTGGTGTAGGTCATGAGGGGCATGCTTTCAAAGGGAACTGCAGGATGTTGTTTCTTCCAGCTTCGTGTCTCGGCCACAAGATAGTTTGCTCTACCACCTGCTCCCTGTCATGTTGTGCTGCCAAAGCACTAGGGCAAGTTGGTCATGGGCTGAAACCTCCCAAACTGTGAGCCAAATAAACCTTTTGTCTTTATAAGTTGATTATCTCAAGTATTTTGTTAAGAGTTACAAAAAGCTGACTTCAAAGGAGGTAAGGATGGGACAAGGATGTGTTTAAGAAGTGCCTGCTGTGCATAAAAATAGGGACAATTTCTGAACAACACAATTTAAATACTGAATTATAGGTTCTGTTTTCCATTGTCTGCTGAGGAGCACAGGGCCACCCTACAGTAGCTAGCTGGAGACCTGTGTATGTGCCAGCTTGGCTTTGAAGGTGGGAAGGCAGAACGTTCAGTGCCCTTTGTTGTGGGATATTTAATATCCCCCCAAAGCCTCATGTGCTCATGTGTGGGGCTTTTAGGAGGTGACTGGACCGTGGGTGTATGGTACTGGACTAATCCACTGATGAGTTTATGTTTATAGCTGGGAGGTAAAGCCTGGTGGGAAGAGGTGGGTCCCTAGGGGAATGGCCTAGAAATGAAACATAAATGTAAATATAGATATTCCCTCCTCCTCCCTTGATCCCTCTTTGCTTCCTGCCTGCCATGCCATGAGCTGTTTCTTCTTTGCCATGACCTGCCTTGCTGCCTGCCTTGGAGCCAGCTGTGGACTGAAACCTCTGCAAACTGTGAGCCAAAATAAACCTTTTCTCCTTTAGGTTGTGGATGTTTCTCCTTTAGGTTATTGTGTCTCAGCAATGAGAATGCAACTAAGACAGTGTCCTGGGTAACAAAAACTCTGTAGGAAAAGCATACCTATGGGCAGTGGGCCCAGGGAGCACTGAGAGTGATATCCGGCAGTATTTGTATTTACTGTGTCCCTAGGGGTCATTAAACATGACAGGCTACATCAAGATTTGATTTATTTGCTTGCCCGAGGAAGAGTCCCATTGTTCACACTGGTGTACATAACCCAGAGTGCCTCACCATGGTTAAGGAAGTTAACACTAAGTGTGGCCATCTGACCTTGGGCAAGGTAAACGACCTCCATGTTTCTGTTTCTGCCTTCCCCACAAAAAAAAAAAAAAAACCAAATCATACCTGGAGGCCGGAGTTAAAACCAGCTAACAGAAGTAACCTGTCCAGTATGCGCTCAGTTAGTGGGAACCGGTGGTCTCTCTCTGTTACTGCTGTGACTGTGACTTGCATCTTTCGGGCCCTTTGTGTTCCTTCAGATGCCAGTCTGATGGTACTGGAGCTCCAGAGCAGAGCAGCTGCAGCGGCTCCTTCACCCTTCGCGAAGCAGACCTGGCCTGTGTGTATCTGGGGAGGAAGAGGGTAGTGCTGGAGGAGATCCCCGGGTGTTTCCCTGTGAGAACACGACCCGCAGCACAGTGTGGCCCGGCTTGGCAAGGCTGTGGGCAGAGAGCTGTCTCCTGGGCAGGGCCCGAAATGTACTTAGTAATGAGGGGGGTTCTTACATTGGTGGATCATCTTTCTTTCCCCCGAAGAGAAATGGTGTGTGTTTTGCTGGATGAGCACAGCTGATTCCAGGCACCGGCCAAGCGCTCACCTGTGCATGGAGGCACACCTGTCAGAACTCCGGCCTCTCAGCCCCACTTCTCGGTGCCAGCAGCACCAGCTGCCGCTCACGGACCAGGTCTGCAGCCTGTGTTCATACAAAGGCCACAAGGGTGTCTTGGGCAGAAGAGAGAACTCGGACTTCGTGTGCCTCATTTGAGTTGGGGATGCAGGGCTGCATCCGCTGGCAGCACCCACAGGACCTTCCCTGCATGCGTGGAGATGCCAGGTACGAAAAGAGGCAAAGAGGCTTCGGGTGGCTGCTGCCCCTGCCTTCTTGGGTGACAGGAGTGTATGCATCTGGGGTATGGGTAGGGAAAGGAAGAGGTATCTGCCAGGGATGGGCGTTTAACTCACTTTCTCCTGACAGTGAGTGTGTGAACCAGGGAGAATAATCCCACTTCAGAGATGAGAAAATGGGTAAAGCACTTGCTTTAGGTCAGTTAGTGAATTGCCCTCTTCTTGCTGTGCCATCTGGTCTCGGGGGTCAGCAGAGACAGTGGCCACTGCAGATTGCACTCACCACCCCATTCGTATGTTGAAGTCTCCGTCTCCCGTGTGTGAGAACAAGAATTCATTTGGAAATAGGGTCATCCCAGAGGTGGCCAAATTGAACGCGGAAGACTGGACCCTAATCCAGTAGCACTGGTGTCGTTTTCCAAGGGGAAGTTTGGAGGTGGAGAAAGACAGGCACAGAGGAAAGATGATGTGAGGAGACATAGAGGAGACGGCTACCTCTCAGCTGTGGTGGGGCCCTGGAGCAGATCCTGACCTCAGAGCCCTCAGGAGGAAGCCACTGCTTCCACTTTATCGCAGACTTCCAGCCTCCGGAGCTGTGAAAAGCTAACTTTGCATAGCTCAAGGCACCCGCACTGCAGTACTTTGTAAAACAATACCATATAAAAGTGTGTGTTCTGAGTTACATACACCCTTACTTTGAAATACTATGTTCACTGTTTTTTTACCTTGGCCGACATCACTTGACCTCTGTGCACTTCAGTTTCCTTCTGTGAAGTGATGCGAGAAGTACCAAGCTCTTGGGATGTCATGTTAATTAGGGAACATCATGGAATTGAGTCTATGGCAGGAAAGAGTTTAGCAAAGAACAGATGAGCCCAGCATGATGGGGGGATCATCCAGCCACTTCCTATTGCTTAATCATACTTGTACTTTAGATCTTCAATCCCCACCCGCCAAGTTCCATGTATTAAGCTTATTCTCGTAATGCTTTCATGCCTGGCTGCTAGCATCTTTCTGTACTGGTTAGGCTGAATATATCGCAGAGCACTTTTCTGTCTGAAGATTAACTTGATTATTAATTATCTAATGAAAGCCCTGCTCTTTGGACTTGAGTAGTGAATGTGAATGGGATGCATCAAGAAGGCTTGGTGCCATGTCTTGGTATCTGGATTTCTTCCTTGGAGAGTGTAGCAGCTACGGAAATGCTGAGAGGCCAAGTGGTAGGAGCATGCTCAGGCTCGATGGGTCACGCTGGCCCAGGGCGTGAAGATCTATTAGATCCACATTAAGTGAGCTTTTCAGACAAGGAGAAACTTAGAAACCATGGTTTCTGAAACACACATTCTGCTTAAGAATATCTGAATAAGTGCTAGTGGCAGGCTGATCGGTGATCTCAGTCTTTTATCCTCTAGCTTCATGTTCTTGTGTAAAGAACTCTCCCTTCTTGACTGTGGGCTTGACCTTGTAACTTGCTTTGGGCTGAGAAACAGAAGTGAACCTGATACAACCAAAGACTTGGGAAGCGCTGCAGCTTTTCACCTTCTTTTTTAGAGTCCTGTCTCTGCCAGGCTAGCCTGCTGAAAGACCAGGACTACCTGAGTTCACACAAAACGATTATAGCTAGCAGCTGCAGGTTGACCCCACATGCATGAACAAACCCAACTTGGC